CCGGGGTTTTGGCAGCTTTGCCCCCGGTATGATATCTATAGCACAGTCGGTAGGACGGTGTGGCGGCAACGCATTACACTCCTGCTCGCTAAACACGTCCTTTAAATCCTCATACTCTACAGGAAATAACCGTGTGTTTCCACTGGCTTCTACCGCTACCTTGATCCTTTCCTTGACCCGTGGTTTAACGGGTTGTAATTGTATCTGTGGTTCCTCCCCCTCAGTGCCTGGAGGCCGGGGACCTACCACTAATCTCATACGGCGATATCCCCCTGCCCACCAGATAACCGGTTGCCATTTGTCAAGCCAGGCCAACCCCAAGATCACGTCCTCGGTCATCGAGGGGATTACAATAAAACGCAGCAACTCCCAATGCTCCTGCATCTCTAGGCGTACCGGTTCTGTTACATGAAATACCGGTGCCCCACCTAGCAAGGATCCATCCACCTGTTCAAAATTGATGGGTCGAGACAATTTGACCAATCGAAGCCCCAACGCATCCGCCACTTTCCTACCGATCAAACACCGGGTACAACCCGAATCTATCAACGCTTGACACTCTATGCGTTGTCCAGACTTACAATCCCTCAGGCAAATTGGTATGGTGAATGGTACCACCGGATTACTTACCATGGGATCCTGTTCCGGATCTTCCGGATCATACTTCTCAGGCACTACCTCCGGGGTGGAGACCGCCACTACCGGTACAGCCCTATAGGGGGTGCTGCTTTCATCCTGCAAAGCCCTCAATTGATCTTTTCCTTGAAACGGAGTGACCTCCTGCCTTCTTGTCTCCAAAGCAGACTGTCCCGAAGTTGATCCCCGTCCAGGTGAATTTGGACACTGGGCCACCCTGTGACCCGGTTTATTGCACCTAAAACAGCGAAATGTCCCTCTTGGTGCCCCGGGTGGAACTGGTTGAGCTGGTACTCCCAACGGCCTCGGCTTACTGGCTGCTTGCCGAGTGGATGCCGGAAGGGAGACGAATGCTCCCGGTCCCATCTCCTGTAACCCTGCATAGAGTTCGGTCACTGTCTTGTACCAATCGGATAGGCGAGGTGGCACCCCTCTCACCAAACAAGCCTGACGGAGTTCCACATCGAGTCCATGCCTGAAGTGATGTACCAGCAATTTCTCAGGCCAGGATCGTAATCGGCCTGCCACCCGCTGGAAGTCCCTAATGAACTCTCTCACCGGCCTACCTCCCTGTCTCAGGGTCACTATCTCTGCTTCCGCTCTCTGAGCCCTGGCAGGATCCTCGAACCGCATCCTCAAGGCCTCCAGAAAAGAACCTATGTCGGCCAGCTCACTGGCATGCTCTCCAAACAGGTCAGCTGCCCAGGAAGCCGCCTCACCTTGCAGACTGGCGGTTACCGCTACCACCATGGCCCATTGGGAGGAGTAATGGCCTGCAAAGCGATCCAAATGGTTCAACACATGCCCTAAGAACATGGCCAATTTGTCCGGATCCCCGTCAAAGATAATCCCAATCGCCGGAGGGGTCCATGGTATACCTGTGGGCCACGCTACAGCTGGCTGACCACCATGCTGAGCCCCCGTGATAGCCGAATGTCGGCCAAGATCCCCAGGTCCCAAGGGCAGGGAAACAGGGGTGGCCTGGGTGGCAGCTATGGGTCCCGTTCTCACACCTCCATGTCCCCCTTGCTCCAACTGTGCTGTTGACCCCTCAACTGTGGGCTAGCCAGACGGAATCCAGGTGAATCGACAGGGCGGTGGGAGGCCACCCCCTGTCTGGGAAGGAACCCTGGCTCCCCAAACCTAGCCTTTAATACATCAAGGGTATACTGTCCCGGGGTGGTGGAGTAGCTCCAATCACCCCCCTCGTCGCTGACCACTCTCCTTTCCCTCCAGCCCACAACAGGGTCTCTGTCGCCCGGCATAGACCAACGCTCGGTATCCATACGTTGGAATGTGGAACTCAGTCCCCATCCAGCCGCTTCGGTTACTGCCGGCCTCTGCTTAATCCCAGGATCCACATCCTCCACCGATGGAATACTTTTCTCCTTTGGGCGAACGACCGGTCGCTCCATCGCTGCCCCTGGATCCACAGACGAGCCCGGGTCTTCTGTCTGTTCAAGGATATCCTCCAACAACTCGGCATCCTGCACCCCTTCGGCCATGCTGCCTTTAGTCAGCTCCACGGTAAATCCAACAAAGGAGCTTAAGAGGGAGTGCTGACTTACTGTTACCCCGTCTTTGACACACCCAACCGAATCAAGAACCACCTCGTCAGGAACGGAGAACATCCAGTTTATTGCAGATTAATAAACGAAATAAAGTCAGCACTGACATACTGTGAACCCTGAGCCTCTTTATACAATTTACTAGAACCCCGCCTAGCCCACACCCGTCACCGCCCATGCGCCACCACCCACCTCCGGACCGCCCAACGCCCTAAAAGTTGCTGCATCACGCTGACCTAACGCTTCCCGATGCTCCGGCCGCTTCCCAATGCTTCGGCAGCCTTCTATCGGCTTCTCAACAGCGTCCTTGCAAGATCCGCGGTTTCTATCAACCGCGCATGCGTTGGCTTGCTTAAGGTGTCCTCCACGCATGCGCGGCTCCGGCTGTCTCATCTGATCGTCGGGCCGGCTTCTGCGCATGCGCGCCAGCCAGCTGGCTGTCGGTCGGTCGGAGCGCGACTCCGGCGCATGCGCGCCCATCAGATGGATGTCGGGCCGACCAGACGCCGTACCGGAGAGTGGATGCCTCGCTGCCGCAGGTAAGCTCTGTAGACGATTTCACCACGGCCCGACAGCTATGTTGTTGAATTCAATGTATTCCCTCCCTCCTGCAAATGTGCAAAAATGTTACGCCCTCCACTAGGAAGGACGCCTTAATTAGTGAATCAAGATCCCTTCTGGAACTGGAAGTGAGTGACATTAAAAAAACACAAAAGCAGGAGATGTGGGATTAATTGCACAAATATGTCCATGGGCATGCTCCCACAAAGTCCTTGAGATAACAAACGGACTGCTCCAGACACAGGATACATTCATCAACCATTTGGACAGAGTCTGATAAGAACACCTGCATAGCCTTGCATATGGATAGTGTCTGTTATTTGATACATTGTAACCACCCCTATATACATCTTTTGCTTACGCTGTGTGATGTAAAAACTATAGTAACAATAAAAGAGGGTGTTGGAGTCAGCTCTGGGCTCCCATCCCTAGATACCTGCGTGCGTGTCTCATTTTCCATGGGAGACCACCACAGTTCATGACTCAAAGATTATCCACCATGAAGCATTGCTTCAGTTTAGGGCAGAACAAAATTTTGCCTTCCATGGTCTATTCTTATGCTTTTGTGGCTCATTGCTGTGCTTCAAAGGGTGCAAAATAGACTGAAATATACACTGTTAAGAGGTTCAGTAAACTGTGATGCTATCTAGCTCAGAATTATTTGCAAAAATCCAGTCCAACTTGTTTACTTTTTAGCCCAGGGGTCACCAACCTTTTTAGATTGGCAGCTTGGTGGGAGAGGGAGGGGCAGGAGCCTTAGGTGGCATGCACAAACGTGAATGTGGCCACACATGCGCACAAACAGGTGCACCATGCAAATGGGACTGCGCATATGCGCGTGAGGCTCTCAGTGACAGCGGAATCTGTGTGAGGCTTATGGCGCCGCCGCTGCCAGGTTTGTGGCAATGCTACCACCAGTGTGAGGTTCATGCCTCAATCCGCAACGCCATCCAAGCGCGAGGTTCATGCCACCACCCCCGCACAAGGATCATGCCATGGCCCGCAGCGATCCCACCCCAGCACATGGCTCGTGCCACCACCTCTGCCAACTGGTCAACCTGCTGCTTGCAGCGCTGTCATTGCCCACACGAAGTTTGTGGCAATACCACCATCTGCGTGTGGCACACCACTACCCACCTGCCACTTGCAGCGCTGCACCTCTATGCAAGCTTTGTGGCAACACCGCCGCCCATGTGATACTAGCAGCACTGCTACAGCCTGCAGAACACTCGTGGCAACAGTGGCATGGGGGGTGAGCACACACATATGCACCCAGCTATTCACGCGGCCTGGCAGCCAAGAGGCCACGGCCCAGTAGTGGGCCATAGCCCATAGGTTGGGGAGCTGTTTAGTGTCTTGTCAAGTTGCACAGAACAAAGCTTCCAGAATGTGTTCTGAAAGTTATTCACTATATCCAAGAAATGGCTTTAAATATCAATTGCTGAAGGCCATTACAATAGTCCCTCTAACCTGCATTTATAAGTCAAGAAAATTCTCAAGTGATCCCCCTTCATATAATCAGGGCCTCAGGTTGCAGAGAAAACAAGAACTCCATGTTAATTCCACAGCAGATGGGTGATCTTCAAAATGCTAAGTAGGGTTGATCTTGGCTGGCTATTAAGTCAGACCACTTGGAAATACTGGGGCTTTAGATTAGGAAGTCAACCATTCTAGAAGGCAGTAGTAAACCAAATTGAGTTTGTTGCCAAGAAAGCAAATGCATACATTCCAGTGACACCAGGAGTAGAGCTCAACTTGGAGTCTATTATCAGAACTTGTAAAAGCTCCACGTCAGTCCACATAACTATTACTTCATTGCCAAGGACATATACTTTTCTAGATTGATTTCTTCATTTTTGAGATTTAACTTTATGAATCTCATTTTAAAGCATTTGAATAGATGCTTTGTAAAGCACCCTTCTTGGGCTTCTTTGGGATAGTGCTTTAGTGTTTGCATGGAGACAACAGATTACTGGGAGAACTAACAAAACAAAATTGTAGGACACGTGCTTGGGCAGATACCTGAGGTGAATCTGCAAAAGGAAACAGCTATGTAAAGATATTGGGAGGATCTCTGGCCTGCATCTTCTAAAATTCTCACAGCCCTACTTTGCATGTTATCCCAGACTAGAACTTGAAGTTCTCCAAGGCTACAAAAGTTGTTAAAAGTATACTGATTCTCAGTGCCAATCTTTGCTTCAGGAGTGGGCAGCTTTACTGTAAATGATGCCACAGTTTTGTCCTCTCAAAGATTTATACAACTTTCCTCTATTGGCTCCCCAAATCCCTTGCATATTACAATACAGAAGCCTTTCCAAGAGGCACAATAACATTTATGGAAAGAAAAAATGACAACCATGTAATAAGACAAATATCTATCTCCAAAGTTAATGTAAGGAGAAATTCCTAAATTAGTGCAACTTAAGACAGTACAGGCTTTGGAAATTTTTTGAACAGAAAATGCAGTGCCTGAATTACAGCAGGACATAGAGGAGTGGTTTTATCACCACATTTTTACTGTCAAAATTCACAAAGACTTTGAAACATCAGAGTTTAAAAACATCCTACATCAAAAACAAACGCAGATCAAACTGCAGAAAAGAAAATATTAAGTAAGACTCAAACAAAACTGGCTGTAGCTAGTTTAGCTGGAAAAAAAGTAAATGTCTCCATGGGAAACTCTTTGTCAGACGCTTCAAAACCAGCAGCAGATGCTTTCAAATGAAGGCTTCCAGTTCAATCAGCTTGCAAAGAAACATTCACAGTCTTGTTCCTTACATTCCTGGGACTCCAAAAAGTTCTCCCATTTCAAAATATTCCCCTTCCAAACGCAGCACAAGACAGCTCCACCCTCAGTTCTCACCAGTGTGCACATATTCCTCTGCTGCTTTTGAGACAGTGTTCAGATACTGCCAGCTCAATGCAGCCAAAATCATAATGCAAGAAAAATAGAGAGGTGAATAATGGGTCTGGGAGACCAGAGTACCACTGGGTAAGCTCATGGATTGGACAGTGTTGACAATCTGTTGAGTTTTGGCAGAGGAAGGGTCTGTACTTGGGACCTTCTGGTAGATCTAGTGAGAGAAAGAAATCATTTAAAATAACATAGCTACAGAAAGATAATAGAAACCACAGATAAAACAGACTAATTGGTAAGTTAAAAGAAGTAGGAATTTTAGTAAGACTTCAAATATAATTGTCATAAATAACACATCACAGATTGATGGAACGATTCCATGTGGCTTTTCTACTAAAAATACATTTATGGATTGTTTGACTCTCTGGCAGTTGGTGCCATCTCACAATCTAATCTGCAATAAATATTAAGTTTGGGCTTTTTAGATCATCATTAGAGCCCCATTTTGGGTTTCCATAGGAAGAGCTTGGCATATTTGTAATTTTGTACAAGAGAGGAAAAAGAAATTGCACTATTAGATGAAGAAAGAAAGAGCAGTTGTTAAACAAGCCTATACACAGGGCTCTGTGGATTTGTGGTACTCTGTAGGTTTTTTTGTCAAGCCCGAGCTTTTGCTATGTTTCCATTACATGTCTGTGAAACAGTCACTCCCCTCCCTCTTCCTTACAAACAATTCCCATGAGAAAACAGCAACCCTTTTCCATTCCTTTCTTTCTTTTTCTCTTCTTCTTAGCTAGTGAAAAAAAAAAGAGAAGCTGCATATAGAAGGAATGAACAGATAGCATGGAGGGGATTCAGGGGAGAGAGGACTTCATTATACCAGTTCAGTCCTTTTTGCTCAATGACTTTTCCAAATCTCATATATACTAAAATATTACACATTTTAGTTTGTTTTCCTTTGAAGAAATTCATAGCAGCAAATATATGGAATAGCCCAACAGATGGGCCTTACTTAATGACTATTTGTCAGCTCTATTCATATAATGGTGCTAAATCAATGGTGGCTCTGAGGAGTCCTCATATTGGTGGCAGAGTCCCCGCAATCACATAATCGCCATTTGCAACCTTTTTTTGCAGCTTCTTACAAGCAGTCAGTGAGGAAGCTAGCAGGAGGTCACAAATGGCGACCACAGGACCTTTTTGCTTAATGACCTGAGTGATTTGCTTAATGACAGCAACTATGAGTGCTAGAATTTCCATTTACAACCATGTTGTTTACCTCATGTTATGTGAACACAAGACTTAACTTCCCCTACCTTAAATTCAGTTTCAGCATGTTATGCAAAACCAGCCATCTGAATATCAAAGCCAGATCATCCTAGACCAGGCATATCAAACTGCTGGCCCATGGGCCGGATGCATCATACTGAAACCACGCCCATCCAATTACTGGCAATGGGGGAAAAGTCGCAGTACATCACGTGACGTCACGTGATGTCGCAAGTTTGACATACCTGTCCTAGACCAAATCCAATCTCCTAAGTTTTACATCATGCTGTGCAAAATTTGCTTTCCCACTTCACAGAGCTTCAAAGTGAAAAGACAGATCCTGATGATTGCCATACATGTTTCTTGCTAACTCAAGAAACTTCTCCCACTAAAAGGCATTTACGTCAGGAACTGAATATCTAGGCTCTTCAAACTCACCTCTTCCATATATTGGTACATGATGGTTTTGACAGCCTCTATGTTAGTAGCATCCATCATCAATGTGACTGCTTGTCCCTTTCGAATCTTCACCACACCTTTGAAGATCTGTTGGTTGTTGTAGCAGGCTGCCAAGGTGGCTATAGCCATCACCTGGGCAGGAAAGAGGATAAAGGGCTTATAATTAAGAGCAGCAGGTATTTGTGTATTTGTACACAAGCAGACGCCAAAGAAAAACACAGAGCTATTTTTTAAAAAATAATTTATAAAGATCAGTATGCTGCTCGAAGGTTTTGAGTTTTATAAAATAGTCTAGAATGTCACATATGTTAGAAGGACAGCTATATAAATGTGGTAAATATTTTTTTTTTCCTTCTGTTCAGTTGTGTCTAGTTGTTGGAGATTGCCTGGACAAGTCCCTGCAATTTTCTAGGCAAAGTTTTTCAGAATTGTTTTGCTACAATCTCTTTCCTAAGACTGAGAAAAAATTATTGGCCCAAGGTCATCCAGCTGACTTTGTGCCTAAGGTGGGAGTAGAACTCAGTCTCCTGGTTTCTAGCCTGATGCCTTAACCATTAAAACAAACTGGCTCTCGATATACATACACACACAGAATACTCATGGCAAAAGAACAGTGAACTAATGATAAATGGCCCAGATGTTCAACCTACAGAAAGGAATGCTGTGTTCCTGGACAGGGAACTTGGGCCAGCATGGACAGGGCATCATCAAGTGCCTCAAGAGGAATGTACCTTCTTACAACAAACCAAAAGTCCATAAAAGTCTTTCCGGATGTTTTGATATCACTTCCTAAGTAAGGCAAAAAAAGGGTTTTTTCAGCATGTTTTAGGAATCTAGCAACTTTCTTAACAAATTACATGAACCAAGTGTTATATTATACCATACAAAGTTTTGTATACACAGCAACTATTTTTAGTTAACTTAGTTTTACAAAGGTAATCCCAAGAATAGTGAAAAGCAGAAAAGACTATCTACAAGTGTCACTCAAAAATGTATACCCGATGCATTTTTCCATCCTTTTTCATTATTTTAGACTATGACCAATAAATAAACTAATGGTTTATCATACTGCTATAACAATGGATACCCATCACATGATGAATCTCATGTTATCCAAGATTATTTTAAAATAGTCTTTAATTAGTCTTCTAATCCAGTGATGAACAACAAGCTCATCATCTACTTCATTTATGTTTATCAGAGTAAAATTATTTACTACCTTTTTCCAGGATATTTCTCAGCCTACAACCCTATCCTTTCTAGCAATCCCTCATTCAAAATACATAAACTAAGTTTGAAGTTCAAAGCTTTTTAAGATCTGCCAGGTTGGGCTTCATCTGGCATTCTAGGAGGCGTTGTTGAACGGGGCTCACTCATTTGAATATGAGACTGGTCCCCTTTTTTATTGATGATCCAGAAGATGGTTAAGACAGCTATTACAGAAGGCATTTAGTAATTAATTTTACTATTACTCCTACTCATTATTACTTTATTTACTGTGAATATTTTAAGTATGTTTTTGAACTATTGTTGCTTTGTTAATTGCGAACTGCCAGGAGTCCTTGATAGATTTGGCAGGATGTAAATGTAATAAGTCACAGGTGTCAAATTTTATCACGTCACTTAAGCCGGGGTGGATGTGGCCTTCACGTGACGCATCCGGACCACGGGCCGCCAATTTGACACCCCTGTAATAAGTGAACAAAAAGAAAAAAGACAATTCAATTTACCTGTGGAATAGCACAGAAATTGAACACACTTTGATTCTTCAAGCGGGACAAATATGTCAAGACATCAGGAACATGATGTAGGGCGTTGGTAATGAGCTCATTCATACACTGGACGGCTTTGTCAATGTTCTCTGGCTTAGACAGATCTGATAGCTTCTTTACATACTTGCTCCAAACCTAGGAACACCAAGAGGTCAAGGTTGTTGAAGCCACTTTTGCAGAATGTCAAAGAAATTGTTACCGAGCAGCTGAGATTTGTTAGTTTTCATAGGGATTACGCTTATCCAATATGTCTTGTTATGAAGGGTGTTTGAGCATATCACTGATGCTACTAACTAGCAATGAAGATTTCCAACAATGTCCCAGCATTATGTAAAGTACATGATTAGATCAGAGCAATGCAAAACTATCCTTGTTTTGTCTAATTAGCTATTCGACTCAACTGTGCACAAAATGTTATGCTCAACCCAAGAGCAAAGTTACTCTTTTGTTTATCCTCTAAAGCTTGCATGCTTTAAGTCAAGGGTCCCCAATCCCTGGTCTGTATCCCATTGGGAACCTGAACATGCAAGTGGTAAGCAACTACGCAAAGCTACATTTGTGCAAGCGGCACATGCACATGAAAAATCATCCCCTCCCCCGCCACAGCTACCAATCTGCAGAGCCAGAAAGGTTGGCGACTGCTGCTCTAAGTCAATGTTTCACAATTTCACCAATTTTAAAATGTGTGGACTTCCAGCCATGGGGACAGGGAGTAGCAGCTACTAAGAAGGCTGAGACTCCAGGACCGTGGCAGCTTAGCAAGCACTGGTGGCCCACCTGAAACAGTTGAGATGTGGGGGAGAAATAGGGTGTGGGGAGGATGAAATTACAGTACTTATAGTCATAAGGGCAGGTGTGCTGCCAAGTGCCCAAATTTTAATAAAGTGACCTCAGGGATGTTGCAATGGCCATAACTGCTGTAACTCCCTTCATTCAGCACCATTATAATTTCAATCAGTGACTAAACAAATGGTCATAAGTCAAGGACCATCTAGATTAGTAGCCATTCTGTGAGGTGTTAGGAGACCATTATGATCAATCACTGAGTTTGCACAAAGTGGCTGCCAGAGCAGCTTCTGAAAAAGGTTTCTCTGACCTTTGTGAGTGCCAGAGAAGGCTCTATGATCTATCAAACTGTCAAAGCAGCAGTCAATATATCCATAATATAGCTATTAGCAGCCATAACTTAATAACAAAAACAGCAGTAATAACAGTTATAAAGAGACAGAGGATATTTCCCTGCTGCAATTAACAATAGGGAAGTATTATTTATTTATGAGACTTATATACCGCTTTAAGTGCAAGCAGTCTCTAAGCAGTGTACACCAGTAAGCAATGTGTATGTGTGTGTGTATATATATATATATATATATATATATATATATATATATATATATATATATACATATTTACATTGCCCCCAACAATCTGGGTCCTCATTTTACCTACCCCGGAAGGATGGAAGGCTGAGTCAACCTTGAGCCGGTGAGATTTGAACCGCTGACCTGCTGAACACAGTCAGCTAAAGTGGCCTGCAGTACTGCACTCTAACTGCTGCGCCATCTCAGCTCTTAGTTCTGATTGCAAGAGACAGAATTCAATCTTACTCCATCAAACATGGGGACAATTGGAACATCTTAGATAAGAATGAGACCACCTTATGTGCAGATATATGCAGCCTCAAGCTATCACTTCATAGGATCCTTGGGCAGAAAGGTTGCCCGCACATTCTACATCAATTAAACAGCAATGATCAGCATGGAACCTAGCAGCTTTTGCATGCTGTACACATTCATACCACTGAGTTAAGATCTCTTTCTCACATCTATCATACTCTTTTCTTTTACCTCTTTGGGCCAGAATTCTCTGCCTTCAAATTGGTCCTCCAGATAATCCCTAATGATGTTGGTTTTCTGCAGAAAGAGTCCCATGGAGTTGGCCAGTTCTACGTCTTGACCGATAACAGGATCTTCTAATTCTGAGGCAGAGAAGAGACGGGAGAGGCCAATTCCCACCAGGCCAGCAACGTAGTGGCAATACTATAGATTGGAACATTCAGAGCTTTATTAAGATGTTTTGAAAAATCTAGTTCAATCCATAAAAGCTGCAGCTACTGAACTTCACAATTTCTTTTATTGAATTACTTTTGCTAAAGCAATATATATCATGAAAGAAAGAAAAAAGCAATGTAAATTGCTAGGAACATTTTATAGCCACTGTTACAAATGGGGTTCTTTTGGAATGAGTTTAAGGGCCAAAAGTTCAGCCTTTAAAACCCCAGAACCTTGCCAATACAAGTATTAGGCCTGTTCACTTTAAGAGCATGAGGTTATGATATGTTACTCAAAGTCTGCGACAGATCTTGAGTGATGAAAGTTCTTTATGCCAGACTTACGGTTATGAGCAAATGAAATCCACATCAAAGACCAGCTCCAGTTCCAAGACACCTAAACTGCAGGGATCATCTCCTCTGAGCTAAAGAAACATCCCTAATATCAGTCTGAGTGCTGCTTTTCCCTTATGTATAGAAGCTATTCACTTTTATTGTTTCTTCTTAAATATTCTGTCCCCATGCTGATGGGCATTATACATTAAAAGCCTCATTGAATATAAGATTTTGAGGGTCTCTGTACTGTAAGCTTAATGGTTATAGCTAACATACTTGCTAGAATTCATACCTCCCCAACTCGCTCACCTTATCCCACTGTTCGTTAGAATTCACCTTCTTTTCCAAAAACTCTGCCATACCAAGGCCCATCTTGTGACAAATGTCAGCAATCACATCTTGATAGACTTTTGCCAAATTCCGAAACTCCAGGGAAATCTAAAGGCAAGAACAGAAACAGGATCATAAGAAATGATACATGTGTCTCTTCCTGCCCCCCCCCCCAAAAAAACTTCTGAATTGATAAGGAGCTCAAGAGTGCTAGCACATTTCAGGTTCCATGCATGTAAACTTAAAAATATGATTTCAGCAGTCCTTTAATCTTGAATTTACCAACAATCAAATGTCATATGTATGAGCAATACTGGAAATATCCTTAGAAAAAGATACTTGGGCAAGTTATTTCTATCCAGGAGGACCAAAATCAATGCACTCACGTTTAAAGCAGACTGTATTACTTCCAAAGAAATAATGGCCAAATGCTATGTGATTTTTCTTAGCTATATAATTAGTTCTGCAAACTTCATTAGCAAGGATACTTAACTATTTGAAAGCTATTCCTTAATTGTTACTTCCTTTCCTCTTAAGCGCAACACATACAAAGCTTAAATAGCTTCTAAAAGGCTACAGTTATTTAAAAGAACAATTATTTTGAAGATTAAATGAGTGTCAGAGTTTAATTTACACAGAACACATCTACACAGCATGTTTTTGGCAGTTTGCCATGAAAGTAAGAAACTGGCAGCATCAGGCTAAAAGCCCATCTAGCAACCAGCCACAAATATTCAGGAATCTCCTAAGTACAAACATGTACTTCAACTGTTGCCTCCTAGCAGTTATAATTTAACATTTACCTAGGATTCTGAGGCTGGCAATAACCTTTAGATTAAAACCACTGCTAGCCCAATTCTTCATAAATTTATCCTATTTACTTTTCAACTGATAACCCTACAACACTAATGGTACAAATATCAACCTCAGCCCTATGATGAAATATCTGTCTCTTGTAAATTCTTATGGATAATTCTTTTGCAGCCAAGGACCAGATTTTTAAAATGATTTTTCAGGAATAATAGAAATGATGACACATAAATATGAAGACATATTTTGGGAAAGACCTTAAGTTAAGTTTAATTTGTATTGTGTCTATCCAAAGATCGAATGCATTTTGTTGTTGTTTTCTACCAAAATTTGGCTTGAAATCCATAAGCAATGCTTGTAATTTGCCATAGAATTTCTAAGTAGAATCCTGCTAACCACCAAAAAACTATGTAGAGGCCACTTACTTACTCTACAACAGATTATCAACTCTGCTCCACATTAATGTGAAATACATCCTCAATACATGTGAACTTACTGAATCTATGTGAAGGAAGGGTTGCAACAGTTCCTCACACATCTAATAGAGTGCCATATAATGCAATTCTACATAAAAGGCAACTATGTAGTGGACTGTCCTAATTTCAATTTTTCTGAAACAGCACCTCTGTATCTTTTAGGACTGGGAACTTCCAAACAAATGTTAATATATCTGATTTTAAGAGACTGATCCCCTCCCTCTTACTTACTAAAGTCAGGGAAGAGAGCCTCTTTATACCTTAACTGCATAAATGCATGAAATTTGGAGAGGCACCACTCACCGTTGGAAAGTCTTCCAGCACCTGTCTGTCCTTCTCTTTGCTGTCCATAAATTTCCAGTCTGGCTGATATAAATAGGAGTGAAAATTGTGTAACATGGGGATCTTAGCTTCAAGACTGATAGTCATGTCATCTTCCACAGTATCCAGAGCTCGGAGAACCAAATAGAAGATGCACACTGCATGGCTACAGAGAAAAGGAAAAGGATTGTTTGTGACTTAGATGCCAGAGGAAAGAGAAAAGAAATTTGCCCTGTTTGTGATAGTTGAATCGTATTTTTCCAGGCACCCACAAAGGATTAATAATAAGAAGCATATTCTTCCAGGTCAATGCAAAAGGTATGAAAGAAAACAAGGAAACAGCCTGCTAGTATTTGACTCTGATCCTGTTAACTGTTGACTTCACCTACTCCCATTTCTAATAGACTGTACACTAAAAGAATTGTAGCCTCTGCAATGAAACCTTTCTTTAAAGTTCTGTGAATCATAAACTGTAATAAATACAACGGTAGGATATTGCATATACTATATAATATAGTATTATAATAAAATGTGAACATCACAGTAATAACCCTGAATTTGCTTTTTATGAGTTTTATATAAGCATTCACAATTTAAAAGAATTGGGAAAAGGTGGACTGTAGTCCATTGACTACTTTTTGAGCACCCAAAGGTTGCAGTTGATGATGCAAATCGGTGGAGGTCCCAAAATTCTAAAAGGCTTTTCTTCTTCTGTGTAAGGTCATGGGAGAGATGATAAACTAATTTATTTTACAGCATACAGTAGTGGGAAAGCTTAAGTCGATGGATAATAACTACAGCCAGAGCTAACTTCAGGGGATGCATATAGCTTATGTTTCTGACTCCTATCCTAGGCAAAAGCTCTAGCATCTCCAGTTGAAGCTAAGCCAACACCAGTTAGCAAAAACAAAGCTGGTACAAATCAGAATGGTCCGATCTTGTAAAAAGTAGATGTTTCGCTTTTTGCTGGAGCAGTCCTTCCCAATTACAGTTAAACCTTTTAGGTCGTTTTCAAAACTGCAGCTGGTTTAGTTTTCCTCCCCAGCCGGGGATTATAAGTGATGAGATCCTCAGTATCACGTTGGTAAATAAGAAAATAGGAATCACAAAAACTCACCGCAAGTCCCCGTCCAGAGCTTGGATGACCGCGGCGAAGCTCCGGCTGGTTTGGTTCAAGTACTTGTAACATATCCGGAGGCTGTCGCTGAGCGAGTCCTGCAAAAGGAGCACAGGCGGAGGGGCAGCCTGAGCAATCAGGAAGCGAGGCCGCGAGCGCTGCGGGAGCCGAGGGGTGCCGCCGCAGGTCCGCAACCGGCCACTGCCAGTCCAGCAGGAACTCGACCCACCGCCACCTGCACGCGGCGGAGAAAAGGCCAAGGTGCGTTTGAAAAGGGACGTGGCGGCTTTGGAGCTGCAACTGGCCATGGAAAACACATTCAAGGCCGGAAAGGCGCACGGCTAACTGGCTGCCCCCCCCCACGCCCCTCGCAGGGCCCCCGAGCTTGGTGCTACGGGGCATTGAAGTGGTTCCGGGGCGCCACCGAAGCGAGACACGCCCACCGCCCCCCTTTTACATTCGGAATGTTTGTTTTCTTCTCCTAGGGCACAGGCCCCACCCACCAGGCAGGGCGAAGGGAAGTGCCGCGAAGGATCTGCAGAGATCGGGCCGCCTTCCAGATAACTGGAGCGAATGCCGTATAAGCACATCGGGAGGGAAAGCTCGAAACGCGCTTTTATCCATTCCTTTTGGGGAAAATTCCGCTAAATCCAAAGAACCTCCATGTCGGGGAAAGAAACCTTACTGCCTATTGAGTTCACACCACATATAGGCTTACTGAATACCGTAATATTTTTTATTGAATAAATCCAACAAGCAAGGTTTTTATCATAAAGCACGGTTTGCCAACCACACTGCCAGGCCTTATGATGAATGCCGGAATTACACATGCTAAACCATATGCTTTGTTCACGTTACTTGATGTGGGGTGTGAAGCCACTTAGCCACGATGGCCTTTTCAACGATGAATAAAACAAACCTATCTTAGCAGTTTGTGAACTGTGCCGTCCATAATGCTTGTGAATTGTGCCTGGCTGAGGAATTCTGGGAGTTGAAGTCCACAAGTCATAAAAGGGCCAAGTCTGAAAAACCCCTGAGCAAGCCTATGACAAAACCATCATCCTTGAACTGTTTGTAGAGGCATACTAGGATATACAGGAATAGAGTAGAATAATAATTTTATTGTCATTTTAAATGTACACTAATATATTAAAATGAAATTTCATTGCATACAGCTAAATAATCTAAAAGGTTGTTGTGCGCAAGGAGATGAGCTGTTTTTTGTTGAAACTGACAAAAGAATAAAATGTAATCTATTGAAATTAAAGAATATCACCACTGATTTTGGGAGGAATTTTCAGGACACCTGACAGTTAAGCCATGGAATGGTTTACCTGAAAACAATGATGGACTTTTCCTTGGAGATTTTCAAATTGGATCTGGATAGTCAGCTAATGGACAGCTCAATAGATTCCTGTACTGAGCAGAGGTTGTACTAAAAGGCCTATTGCTCCCAACTCATACACTCTTATGATTTTATGCTAGCACCCAAGCACTCACTGGGTCCCCTGGCACACCATTATCCAAGTACTGCTGACACAAGAGGTTGCCATAACATGCTTAACAAAGCCAAGCAAATGCATTTCTACAACATGCTAAGCATGGTTAACCTTGACCTTGGTTGGTTTTCCTGTGATCAGCAGATTAAGTAACTCAGGAAAAGTAAGAAGTGTACTGTCTGAACATGGCTGTGAAGTGAACATCCTATTGTTATCTTCCTATTTCCTTGGCCACTTTTTCCTAGCAACAGTATAGTTGCTGAATCTGAAAACAAACATAAACCCACTAACTTTCCTACAATACTGACAGAAGAGAATATTTGTAGCTCAGGATTGAACTATGGGGTTTTAGATGGTCTCTGAGGTTGGTTGTTTTCTTGCAGACGTTTCATTACTAAAAATGATAAATGGCATAAATTGTATTCCACAGAAACTATAATGTATACTATAATTGCTTTGCAAATCTAAAGTTTCTGTTATTGTTTTGGCTTCCTCAAGTCATCTAGGGAGAAAAACTCAGTAAACAAATATCAGTCAGTACTTTATCAGGATCCTCTAATTTTCTGTAATGTGTCATTTCCTTGGATCTAAATAGAGAAACACATAGTAGACCAATAACAACAGCCACCACTAATTATTTAATAAACTTTCATTTTTAAAACTACATTTATTTCTTCTTCTGGATTTCATCATTGGGTGCTTAACCAGAGCTTTAATCGGCGACATGGGTGAATCAGACAAAAATTAGATCTTATTTTCTTCCATGGCTTTTATTCTTGCTTCCCTTTAGCTACTTTTTTTTAGCAAAAATAAAAATTACATTGGGAACCAAACTTAAAATATCGTATAATTCTTAGGAAGGCAGACACACACAAACTCCCCAAAGATAAACAAAGTGGTCTAATATTTGTTTCCCATTAAATATGCTTTGAAAGATATTGACAAACAACTGAACTTTTGATAAGAATAATTCAAGAATACAAAAATCTAATCATATCACCTAATAAATAACCAATGAAATCAATATTTTATGGCAAAATTTTCACAAATTTTATTTCCTTATTTATAAAGTGTTTATAAACAGGTGACATTGTCTATACCTTGTTGCAGATAATGATGTGTTTATATTTATTTCAGTGATTCTATTATACCCCGCACCCCTAGAATACTTCTGATATATTCTCGCACCCCTTACAAAAGTTCAAAATAATGACAACAAATTATGCATATACACTATAATTTTGAAACTTCTAAACCCAAGTTTTCGCACCCCTTGGAATATAGTCTCACACCCCTGATTGGGAACCTGCGCTAAACCCACCTAAAATAACATTCCAAATCAATATATTCATACTGCATTTGAAAGCATTTTCATTATCTCATTTTCTCCCAGTATTATCTGCTTGAGAGGGCAGGGTTGTTTCCCTTCTCATGCAACTATTTATAATCCATTATCATTCTGCTTTATTTTTTCTTTTCTCTATCTGTCTTATCCATTAAAAAAAGAAAATCTCTTGTTCTTGTGCCACAGTAGAAAACAAAAGAAAAAAAATAACCAAAGGGATAAAATATTTAACAAGAAGCCCCACTCACTTGGTCCATCTTGGGCATCACTGTCTTGTATCCACCCATTTTAAACTTCACCAGATTGTAGATCTCCTCTGGGTGACCGAGCCATTTCTTTAGCAGCTCCATTGATTTCTGCGTCGACCTGACAAGGCAGGAAGCAGAAGATTCCTTCTCCCTTATCCTAACCTTTTTTTTTTTTCTAACTGCCTTTGCTTTTCCAGTAATTCCTTCCTCTCACCCCACTTCTAATTTTTGACGTCTCCGTCCCCGCTCAATTTATTCCTCTCTCTCTCTCTCTCTCTCTCTTCATATACCTGCTTCTCGATTCACCCTGCTTCTCTTTCCCCGCCTAGGGGTTTTCAGCAGCGAGGTAATTCCCCCCTCCACTACACGCCACCTGCAATTCTATTCCACTTCTCCGGCCGTGGGGATGATTCAACCCAAAGGCATCTTCCAACCCACACCGGTTCCACTTGGTTGCCTCTCTGCCTGCGTTACTTCCCTAGCAGCAACCAATCAGCAGACAGCACCCCTGATTCGGTAGGTTGATAGGAAGCTGAGTAGCCGCGCGGTTCTCGCACCAGGAAGAGGGCAGCCAATTAGACCATTCCGGGCTGGCGTGACGATCCGTCGCTTTCTCTTGGTTGGTCAATTTTCGGCCATAGGCGAGGTAAAATGGCAGGATTGATTTCGAATCGCCGGGTTTCTTAAAGGTGCTGGACGACCTTTTCTTTGTGCAAGGAAGACCTCAAGAGGTGTCATCCTTACAAGTCCGGTTTGGTTGCTGTTGTAGTAATAGCAATTATACCTCAAGGTAATAATAATAATAATGATAAAGTTGGAAGAGACCTTGGAGGTCATCTAGTCCAACCCCCTGCTCAGGCAGGAAAACATATACCATTTCAGACAAATGGCTGTCCAGTCTCTTCTTAAAAACTTCCAGTGTTGGAGCATTCACCGCTTCTGGAGGCAGGTTGTTCCACTAGTTAATTGTTCTAACTGTCAGGAAGTTTCTCCTTAGTTCTAGGTTGCTTCCCTCTTTGGTTAGTTTCCACCCGTTGCTTCTTGTCCTGCCTTTAGGTGCTTTGGAAAATAGCTTGTCTCCCTCTTCTTTGTGGCAGCCCCTGAGATATTGGAACACAGCTATCATGTCCCCCCTCGTCCTTCTCTTTGTTAAATTAGTGAGGGAAGTTAGCCCAGAGAAGGAAATATTAAAAAGGCAGAAAAATATATTTTTCCTCAAAAGGACTTTTAAAAACCAAACCTGGCCCCAAATCTATCTCTCTGCCCCAAGCAAGAGCTAGCCCCATACAAATGCAGATGTAAAACCATCAGAGAATTGAAGGCAGAGCACTCAAGAAGACAAAGAAAAGATCTGCATGCCCCTCCCTAACTCTAGGAGTCATTAGCCCCATCACCTGGGAAGCAGGATATCATAATAGGATTAAACCACAGATATCAAGGCCTAGAAAAGCACTCAGAAATAGCCTCAAGGTTCATGCCCCAGGAACAGGAAACTATTCCAAACAAGGCTAGAGAGGGTATAAAAACCTACTGCCCATGTACTCAATTTCTCTTTCTTCTCCTCTGCTCCTTCTTGCAAGGACCATCTTTCTGCTTCTCCAATAAACTGTAACCTTCGCCATTTTGCTTATTTATTCCCGGCTTGGATGAACCAGGATGAAGACTTATAGACATATCCAATTCCAGCAACCGTTCCTTATATGTTTTAGCCTCCAGTACCCTAATCATCTTTGTTGCTCTTCTCTGTACTCTTTCTAGAGTCTTTTTTACATCGTGGTGACCAAAACTGGATGCAGTTCGTAAGATAAAGCTCAAGGTTTTGCAATCCAGATTTACATAGTACATGGAACAAGAATTTCCAGATACACGAGCCTTCAGAAGAGGCAGGTTTTCATATTGCAAACATCAATTGGAAAATCAAAGCAGCAAGATCATTCCACAAAGGGTTTTTTCCCTGTATCATTTTTACTTGTGCATAGACCTCAAATGTGGATGTACCAAGCCACCTCATCTGTCAACTAAAGAATTTGTATAATGGCCAGAAAGAAGTTGCAGAATGGAATCTAGAGCAACTAAGTGGTTCAAGATTACAACAACAGTAATAATACCAATAGTAATACGCACCTTGGGTGCAATCCCAAAACAACTAAAGCACCACTTGAACACCATTGGCATTGACAAATTTGCCATTAGTCAATTGCAAAAGGCAGCCTTACTAGGAACTGCTTCCATCCTGCCACAATATCTGTAATACCATCAAACATCCATATCTGCCTATCCCAGGTCCTTGGGAAGGACTTG